AAATACGTGTTCGCGTCTATGTCATGCTTAGCTCTAGATGGCCACGCTCAGGTTTCTCCTGCTTCGCCAACGTTGAATAAGAATAGGGAAAAGAAAAACAGCTCACGGTTCCTGAGTGTTTATACCGGGCCAGGCACTGACTGTGCTAAATGCTTCACATGCATTATCACATTTACTCTTCATGTTTAACTTGCATTTTACAGACGAAGACAGGGAGGCACGGAGAGGTCAGGTTACACAGCTGATGAAGTGCAGGGGGTGGGCTCTCTGACCCAGTGGGCGCCTGTCCTCTGAGCACTTGCACTGAGCCAGCTCCAGTCCTCCTGGTGCAAGAAGAGATGACGTCTAGAAGCGGACACAGCATCTCGGCTCCATAGAAACTATTATCAGAAAACACTGAATCTCTGTGCCGCCTTCCCAGGGTAAGAATGAATGCTCTCAGCTATCCTTGAGGGCACTAATGACGGCTATTATTGTTTTCCGGTTCACACTTAGCCAGTTCTTTCTCCTCTTTACTTTCAGGCTAATAATTAGATTTAAATCCCTGACAGGACTCTAACCATCACCCCAGGGGGTTGTAGGTTTCTTTACTATTGCTTGCAAGGATTTTATTTTTTTTAAAAGCGCTGTGAAACTATAAGTAAGTTACACTGGGCAACAGCTAAAAAAAAAAAATCTATTATCTTGTGGAGTCTTTTGAAGAACACACGCTGTTCTCTCTGGTCTCACCTTGAGAGATCAGCTCTTATTTTTATCTCCAATTTGAAGAATAAAAATACCCAGGAGGACCAGAGAAGGTAGACTCATAAAATGTTGTTTTCATCAGCACCTGTGTAATGGCCAGGTTCATTTGGACAGCATCCAGGCACTTGAAATATGTCGATGCGAGAATTTTGTTTTGTTTTGTTTTTTCTTTCCTAAATTTGGTTTCTACATATAGTGAAAATTATTGTGGTTTTGCTTCTCTGGGGATAAAATAAAGAACAGTTCTTTCTATGAATAAATTAATCTCGGCCTCTGTACTGGGTTGAGCAAGGCATTTTGCAGAGAGCTGTTTACCCACCAGCACTCTGTCCTTGGACACCCAGACCAATCTGTGACAGCACTAAAGTGGTTGCAATCATGGAAAACAGATTTTCTCTGTGTGAGAAGACTCAAGATGGGCACTTTACATCCTTTGAGGAGCAAGACAGAGTCATATAAATAAGTACCTGGCTCAGGTGGAGATGCTGGCCTCATTAACACCTGTTAAAGCCACTGAGTGGCCTGCCAGGGGACTCAGTCACTTAGGAAAAATCTGTTCTTATCATTTATATTATGAATCCTTTGGAGAATCCCAATTGCTTTTGATAAGGGAGGCCAAGAGCCTGTTGATTTCTCTATTAAGTTTTGTCTATTCATAAGGAAAACAATTCTGGCCAGAAGGTCCAAGGATAAGATTCAGTACCTATTCCATGCAAACCCTTTAGCCAAATATTTTCCAGGCGATTTTCCAAGGATATAAAAACAATACAAGCGTATTTTATTTTACTAAATGTGATGCTTTTGAAAAAAATGAAGAAAATATATTTGCATAATTTCAAGCATGGCTCTTTCAGGCAACTGATGACTGTCCCGCAATCTATCAATCAGTTTAAAGCATAAAGAACGATTCCATAATCTTGTGACAGCTTTCTTTGAATACAGGTGAGAAAAAATGATATTTGTTGTTTTTAAATACATTCCTACATAGAACCAAAGCAATATTTTCTGTTCCATTTAATAATAGTTGTGACCAGAACAATCCCTGTTGATAGCTAGACATATAGCTAAAGACAGGAGACACAGGCTCTATTGAATCCAGGACAATTGAGTTTTTTAAAACCCAAGATATATACCTAACCAATTCAACCGTGAGAACTGAACACCTGATAACATTGCAATAAAGGACGGTTTTTTCGGGTAACCAAATATATGTATCCTCTCACTTGTGAAAATGAGGTCTAGGAACATCACATTCTAAAAATGTCTGGCTGAGCTGGGGGTGGGTCCTCCCTGGGGAGTGACGAGCAGTCTTAGAAGAGCTGCTTGGGAGGTGGGGTGGAGGTGGGGTTGGAGGTGCAGCCACCCTGGGGCTCTCACCCAAGGCGGTGGGCATTCGTCCCTACAAATGCTAGGGAAGGAGGGGTAGCAGCAGGGAGAGCAAAATGTCCAGCACTTTCCAGCTACCCTCAGCATGAGAGAGACTTCTCCCCACAGAATATATTACATATTCGATGGTTGTTTGCATACAGAAGTTCACTTCACCCATAATGCAGTTCAACTCCATCATCCCCCAAACAATGCTTTTCATAGAAATGACTAAGAAAGCCTTTATGGATTGATCAAAAACGCTAAGTTACTATTTATTTTTAAAATAAAAAAGTGGAGAGCTTCCATGGAAGACAAACGCCACGTTTTAAACAAATACACGTAAACTAGGTGGACAATCCATTTGTTTAAGAAGATGATCAGCTTGCAAAATTTCGCAGGCAATTCACAGAAAAATTAGAAAGCAAAAATGTTGTCTTGTTTTGGAAGGCAGACCTCTGATCAAACAGGGTTATTTTAAGAGGACCCAGGTGTTTGCCCTGGTGTTGGAAGGTCTAAGAGAACAACAGCAACAGTTTGCACAGTGGCTAACCAGCCTGGGGATGGACATCAGGTCGCAGGGGGACAGACACCAGGTCGCAGGGCAGCAGACATCAGGTCACAGGGGGACAGACACCAGGTCGAGGGGGACAGACAGGTCACAGGGGGATGGACACCAGGTCGAGGGGGATGGACATCAGGTCGCAGGGGGACGGACACCAGGTTGCAGGGGGGGCAGACATCAGGTCACAGGGGACAGACACCAGGTCGAGGGGGACGGACATCAGGTTGCAGGGGGACAGACAGGTCACAGGGGGATGGACACCAGGTCGCAGGGGGACAGACATCAGGTCGCAGGGTGCTCACCACCAACCGCGTCTCTCCTGACTGGACTCCTTCCCAAGCAGTTCTGACTGTACGAACTGGGAAGAGATACCTGCTTTTCCCCAATCGCCTATTTTCAGAGCTGAAAACTGCTGCCTCCTAGTCTAAGAGCCAAATAAATAAACAACTGCTAAGTAGTGTTCTGACCATTAGGTCCACTCGCTCCTATGCAGTGTGTGGTGCTGTCTTCAACCTCATTCTCAGTCCAGCCACAACTCAGGGTTCAATACTTCATTTCCCTCTGATCTGATGGATGGGGACTTGGGCATGAAGCTCATATGCGCAAAATAAACACTGGGTGTAGAGTCCCAGCACATTCTCACTCCTCACACCAAATACTGTCAGTGGTGCTTAAATCTCTGAGCTACTGGCGAAATCTCATCTTACGCGGACGGTGTTACCATAATCCATTATTTTCTAAAGGTGTCAAGCTTGAGGCCGAGAGCTGGAAGGTGAAATACACCTTCACGGGGGTTCTCATCGGGTTGAGGGCGGTTCTGTGCCATTCAGTGCTTTCTGAACTCCATTAGTTACTTCTGCTGAGGCTGAAAACGTCCTCGTAAATGCGTAGAAATTAAATCGCCTGTGAGGTAGGAATGAGACAGTACTTTGCTGCCAAGTATTATTCTCTGTTCAGAAGGTCTACAATCACACGTGCGAAGCGGAACCCCTCCGTGCCTGCAGGAACGCAGTGCTGGCTCGGACTGCTGCGCCCCGAATCTAACGGCGGCTCCTCACCCGGAAACAATCCCTTGATTGGCTTCCAGTGAGCATCGCCTGCCCCCCAGCACTCCTCCTCCAGATGGAACCCACCTCCTCCGTCCAGGCAGGACCCCGGCCTCGGGTCGGCGCAACCAGCGCACCGGCGATGCCCGGCCTCCGTGGCTGAGTGAGGGCAGCGCATGACCGAGGTGCAATCGGGTGGATGGGACGACTGAGAAAGGGAGGTACACCCCTTTTCCCCTCTCCTCTCCCTGAACTTGGAAGAAGGCGGGTCCGGGGTTGCAGTCAGCCCTGCCCTCACGCGCAATCTGGGAAGGAAGGCGACGGGGAGGACAGGAGAGCTGGAAGCTGGCCCTACACTGGATCCTTCCGATACTGTTTTTGGGCCAGAGTCCAGTTGGACACCTGCATTTTCAGTTATATTAGCCCATAAGTCCCCTTTTCCTTAGATTTAGGTTTTCTTTCACTTGCAATCAAAATAGTCTTAATTGATAACCAACTTAAATGGAGAAGCGCTTGGGTTTAGGGTTTGGTTTGGGAAGAGGCTGATCTCATTCTACAGAGGAGCAAGGACACGGAGGAGCAGGTCGGTGGGCTGTCTGACCTGCCAGGGGCCTCTGCTAGCTAGCAGACAGCCAGGCTAGAGTCCAGGGCTCTTGCTTTCTCATGTGATGGTTTCAATATACTGTGGGAAAAATCAACGCATTGGACTCGGACTTGTTTAAATCCTTTTTTTTTTTAAATCCTCACCTGAGGATATTTTTTCCATTAATTTTTTAGAGAGAGTGGAAGAAAGGGGGAGAGAGAAAGAAACATCAATGTGAGAGAGACACATTGATTAGTTGCCTCCCACATGGCCTCCGACCAGGCCGGGGATCAAACCTGTAACCAAGGTACATGCCTTTGACCAGAAATTGAACCCACGACCCTTTGGTGCTTGGGCCTACACTCTAACCACTGCGCCATACTTGCCAGGGCTGTTTAAAACTTTGCTCCGCCCAATTAAAAGTTTCCTTACTGTATATACTTTATAAAAAGAATTCCTTATACTTTAAAAAAGAATTTATAAGTTAATATTTTAAGTCACCTGTTTCATTGTTACCTAGGACATGAACTTGAAAATACATTCATTGATAACCAAACTTTCTCAGCAATGTGCTGTGATCTGCTGTAGTAGCAACAGAAACAGCCCAACAAAATAGCTTAAAATGTTTTATTAAGTATATGTAATATTACAGGGTAATATTTACAAAGTTATGTTTTTTAAATAAAAAAGTATCTTGGCAAAGACTGCAGATATTCAAAGCTTCAACAGTGATAAATTGATTTAATACATATAAAAAAAAAACCTTGAACGGTAACACAGCTGTAAAACAACTTTGGTCTTCAAATCACTGCGAAACATGGCTACTGACAATAGCACACCTTTGACTGCTCTGGTGAAAGGCCCCCACGAGAGGGCCTTGCCCATAGCAACACTGGAGTTTTCTTCACTTAGAATTAATGGAGATTCATCTGGTGTGGGATCTAATGCTCAACAATGGCTTCTTGTAAATAATGCTCCATTTAATAAAAACAAAAACATTTCCCTCTCTCACCAACCCTAGTAACAACACCTAAGATTCCACTGACGTTGCCTTATAGAGGAGCTTATTACAAATGCTCTTTTTTTTCCAGAAGGCTGAATTCATGGGAAAGCTGGTCTTAAATGATAAGAGCTGTCGAAAACCAAAGGCAAGAAAACTGCCCACTCACTGCTCATCTCTAAGAGTTACCTGGATTATCCTATTAGCCATGGAGAATGACTTGACAAAGGACCCCAGTGGGTGATGACAGTTGGCGATTTTGAAACTATGACACAGGTAAAACTGTCTCTAAATATACTCGCCATCAAATAAAACACAATGAAAAGATAAAGGGTTGCCCAACAATCATTTCTCTAGTTTCCAGGGATAGTAAATAAAGGGGTAGGTATTTCCATACATAACACCACCAATGTACATCTTTGAACACTTGTTTTAGGCCAAGAAAAAAATAGAGGTGGTATGGAGCTTAATTCTTACTGAGATGGAGGCGTAAACTTATTGCTTTGGAGCTTTATTAGCTCAAACGATAATTTGTTTGGTCACTTACTAACCTTATTACGACATCCTGAAAAGAGCATACTTCCAATTATGGGATAGTCTCATTATCTTAACTCTGACATTCTCAGAAATTTAAACAGCATGAACCCGGAGCTCCCAGGTGAAAAATCATTGCCTTTGAAGGTTTTCAGAGCATGTGAAATTTGTCAGAAAAAGAAAACTCTCTAGCTCACCCTATTAAAAATAGTGGGGAACCTGATACAGCCAACTCTCAATCATCAAACATACACTGAGTACCTAACGTATGCAAAACAATGCAGGAAGAGAAAGGACGAAAAACGCTTTTGCTATGAAGGAATTTTCAAATCAAGTGAGAGAAAGCAAGACAAACCAACAGAGCTAAGCAGAGACCAAGAAGTACCAGGAAAGGTAAGTCAAAATGAAAGAGGCAGCTAGGTAGATGGCGATAGACTGCAATGGGGAGTCTGAGGGGAACCAAGGGCTGAAGGATCATGTTTTGAGGCAGAGGGAAAATTTGATTTGGCCAGAAAGGTTGAAACAGTTGATGCAAAAATGACAAATGGCAACACTCTGAGGACATACAACAAATAAAATTGAAAGGAAGAGTCAGTGGCAAAAATCCGATCGGTGAGTAAAAAGCAGACTATGGGGAGAGAGAGATATATGATGCCCGAAACATTGTTAGCAATTTTAATTAGGTGTGACAGAAAATGGGGCGCCATGACAAGTCTGACTGGATGAGAATGAACTGGCCCAATGATGCCCAAGCAAGAGGGTTGCTGCTGCTGTGGTCCCTTTTCCAGAGAAGCTGACAACTAGGAAGAGCAAGAGCTGATTTCATCGGGCATGTTTCCGGCTCCCTCTGTGTGCTGTCCAGTGCTGCGGATGCCTCCCAAGACAGGCAACGTTAAAGAGAACACAAACGATGGCCAAGTCCCAAGACTGAACCCCACATAAAGGAGAGTTTACTGCATATTAAAAGATACATTAGTTTATAAAAAAGTTCACTATAAAGATGTTTCATACCTGACTTTTTCTTAATAGAGAATAAGAATTTGGATCTCTTTCAAGTCCATCTGCTTTTTTCCCGCCTTTCATCAAAATTGATTTATAAAGTAACAACTGATGTTACTAAAATATAAATATTTTCGGAAGGAAAAAGAGCAGCAGGAGCCGTGCTGTTTGTAGGAAGGAAAACAGCTCCCGTACATATGATACTGTTTTGGACAGCAACACAAAGAGGGAAAAATTATTTTCCTTTTTTTTTTTTCTCCAAGAAGCGCTGTCTTCATAGTGTGTTCAGTTTTCTGAGAGGCATCAGCAGGTCATAAATTCTGGTTTGCCCTGGGCAAACCACTTGGTCCCAATATGAACTATGACAATCAATTTGGCATAAAAGAGGCACATGGGGACATTCAGTGGACTGAGAAATAACTATTTGTAATGCAACTACAAACATGAGTGTCTTATTATTACACAAGCAGGAAGAATCTAGTATTTTTAGAGGGCACTGGTGAGCGGTCCAAAGACTTGGCAAATTATCTAGAAGTTTTAAAGTTTTAAGTGATCGAATATTCTCATCCAATAGAACCCCACCCAATAAAGATCTTTGTTTTAAATGTTTTTGCTGAAAGCATGAATTAGCATTTGCTCTCCTGCAGGTACCTCGCTGATGTCCGTACAGAAGAGGCATGTGCCTATCTTACACATGTGCACACACACACACCCACGAAGGAGGAAAACGAGTGCTAATAGTCTAAAAGTACTCCAGGCGATCACGACTGTCAGAATGTTAATTTTCTTCTAATGGGGTAGGAAACGTGGGGGTTTTCTTTTACTTTTCAATCTTGGAGTCGGGGGAATACGAGGCAGGACTACAGGAGGAAGATGATGAGTGTTTATCATGCAACATAGATACAATAGCGATAAAACCACCCTCTCGAGGGCTGGCCTCTGGGCCTGACAGCGACACACATTATGTTGCCATGCAGGGGACACATAGTTAAAACCTCAATCTTGGTTTTTCATGCCCCAGATCAGAAAAGAAGTGAAGAAACACTGTAGATTGTGCCTTCAAATCTGAGGAAGGGAATGCATATGTTACAACCATCGTTATTTTCGCTGAAAAGTGTAAACACACTTCTCTGAGAACGGGTCTGGCTCCTTTCTGCAATGATGCTACCATGTCACTGGACCATGTTCGAAGAGGAGAAAAGGTTGCTACATCTTGTACAGCAGAAGCAAGTAACAGGAGGACAAGACAGGGCTTAAAAGGGTGTGTGAATAAAAGAAAAAGACATCCATCAATAAAATCACCCTAAATCTGGAAAGGATCGATTACACTGTATGTTGAAGGAAGAATGTGTGAATGGCAACCCCCAAGAATGAATACCACAATCTCCATTAGTATCACATCACACGTAAGCAACACACACAGTGTTTCCAACCAAATTCCTGTTTGTACTTAATTTGCTATCTCCTTGGCCTAGAGGTAGCAGACACATTATTTAGCTGACACCATAATTGCCGAAGTGGCTGTGAACTGAGTTTGCTAAGGTTCGATGGAAGCCACTGGTTTTCAGTGATATCTCTGGGTGGGTACCAGGTCAGTGCCAGGCGATTCTCACACTGAACCAATTTAAACTGGTGACCTAGAGTCAAGAGGACCCAGGGTCTGAAAGGCATCATTCTTGGAAGTTGCCCACTCTACTTTTGCCCCTGATTGAAGAAAAATAACAACAGAAAAAAACTGGATCTCAATTGGGCACACAATCACAGATCATAATTCTTTTATTAACTAAATCACAAATGTTCTGAATAAAAACTTAACTATAATAGCCATTTAAAAGTCAATGATTTACTTTCTCTGACAGATGGCAGTCAGTTACTCTCTTGTTTTCTTCTCTTGAACAGTGAATGAGTCAAGGCCATGGTGCTTAAACACAGGTGCATTCCTTTCACAGCTCACTATTCTCCAAAGCAGAGTCCGGCACCTCTGTTCAGTTAGTCTGAAAAATTGAAAAGCGAACATTTAATTACTATGTGTCTGTTTTCTAGACATTAACAAATTGATGTATCTTAAAAATTTGGAACGGTTTCAGATACATAATATCTAAAAGCAAAGAAAAAGTATTTAGTCTTAGATTTACAAAGGTCACACACAGATACAAACGAGGCAAATCATTAGGCGTTTTCATCACAGTAAGTAAAAGGGCAATGCTCAATGAAAGTAAAGATCAGCAAAGTTTGATCATTTCCATTTGCTCAATTAGCTGAGGAGAAGCCAAGGGATGCTGATTTGATAAAGCAAAAGATATTGCTCATAGAACAATACCCATCACATTCACTGTAGATCTACATCATTCATTTAATTTAAGTGAAATAAACATGTGATTAGGTTGAAGTAAACGAGGAAATGGCACTATGGTTCCAAGGAGGGCAATTTGAACCTCACTCACAAATGAAGCAGACCCACTGTGAGCATCGTGCTGGTAGCTGTCAGCGGGAAGATCCCACCAGACAGACATTTAAAAATAACTGGCAAAGCTGAACAGCTATTAGCAAAATTAAGGACATTTCAAAGGTCATTACAGACTTTATAATGTGTGTTATGAACAAGCAAAAATTGCTGTATCTCCCAATACAGTGGTTCAAAAAAGAGTCACATCTTAAGGGAAATTTAAAAAGGAAGAAGTACTCAAGGTTCTTATGACTGGTTTTCTGACCATGGAGAAGGGGAACTCCATTTCTCTACTCAACTACAGATGAATGACTCCATAGTAGGACAAAGACAGAACAAATCAGTTTGAAATGAGAACACCAGAATGGAAACATGAACGAACCATGCCACAATCCAGGCACCAATTCTCTGTCTAATACCATGTAGTTTATTCCTACAAACCACAACTTTTTTGGAGGGCTGTGGTTAGTACAACAAAACATGCATTTTTGTAATAAAGGCCGTGACACAAACCTACAAAAGTGGACCAGTCTGTGCCTCCTTGTTGAACACAGCCTAGACATTATTTTAACTTCATCCACCAACACCCAAGCTGTGTGTTTTAACTCTTCTGCAAACGTTAATTGTACGCAGGAATATAGCCTCTTGAATTAAATGCTGTACCAATTTGCTACAGAGGTGAGCAGGTAGGTCACAGACTTTAAAACATAGAAAGTGAACTATTTACATGATCAACGCATGATAATAAACAGCAAAGATAAGAAGTTTTTGATAAGATAAAAACACATTAAAATGTAAACAGCACTGAAGTATCATAGCATGTTAAGGTAAAATTAAAATGAATACTTATAGCATTCAATATCTCTGACGTCTTTAAGGACAAATGTATGTGTCTGAAATATATAATACAAATTTTAAGTTGTCCCCCTCAAAAAGCAAAAACTGGAGTGACCAAACATTTCTCTCTCTCTCTCTTTTAAAATCCTCTCCCTAAAGGTTAGAACCAAGTTCCTTCCTGGTAAAGCAGAGATATTAAGCCTCCATGGATTACATGCAACAGAATCACCAACACAAGCACAAAAGAAACTCTGTCAAGATTATAAAGATTTGTGCCAGATTATCTATGTTATATAACTCCATCTAAAAAATGTTTTTTTAAAAGTGGTCATTTCTCTTTGCTCTGAGCAATATGGCTGGAGTATCTGACTGGTGACACTCGACAGCTTTTATAGTACTAGTTTTGCAATTTTAGCATAGTATATTAAAGTTGTATAAATTAAGAAATGTATACTTTTATGACTTGACAGTGTCCCTTTTATTTAAAAAGCCATATTTTCAAGAAGCAATTTTATTTCTTTTCAATGTCCATATTTTAACCAATTGTAGGTACGTTTTATACTTACCATCATTCATCATTCCTTTTGATTCTTTAAATGCTAAGAATCAGTAACAAGCCAAGCAAGAAGTTAGTAAGGTTCCACAATTAAAAATAATTTCTAAATAAACAAATGTGCAGTGATATCATGCCAACTATTCCACAGCTGTAAATCCAAATTAATTTTAGGGCATTTGATTGCAATGCCTTTCTGTGGATCATACCCCATGGTCCCCACAAAAAACAGTCCATTGAGAACATAGATCTAGATTTAGGAAGAAAGTGAAATGTTTGGTCTCACTCATGGTGAGAGACTATATCTTTCTAAAATTTATAAATCAGAAATTAAAATTAATTGAGATGCTTCTATACTGGGGTGCTATAGCACTTCATTCTCGACCAATATAAAAAGGCACAGTCCCCTCGCCCAATATTACTCGGCTAAGGCATGCAACTACTTGGGAGACACAGAACAGTGCATTTTCCTCAGAGACGAGAACATTACAAAAGCAATACTTTCAATTCTTGATTAATAATCAAAAAAGAGAGGTCAAGGAAGAACAAAAAAAGAATTAGATTCTTCCCAAGGCACAGACAGAACATTCTAACTGCTTTTGGGACCAGTTCAAATTATGATCTGGTAATGGATCAAGGAAAATATTCAAGTTTGTAATAACCACATACCATTAAGGGGTTCCTCTACAGCTTTCTGGAAAATATTTAAAATATATTTATATAAAAATAGAATAAAAATAGAATTTATTCCATGTCCTTCACACTGAAATTTATATATGCTAATATTTAAACTATGTAGTAAACAGTGAATCCTATAGTCTAAAAGCAAGACAATAACAGTTACAAAGCAAAGCTTGCCAAATCTCACTAATTGTTTAATAATAACTGTCTTTTCTTAACTTTCTTTGTCTATGCAGAATTTCCCATCCCACCCAAAAAAATTATTAAAGTCCAAAATAAATAGCAACATAATAAATAATACAGTTAAACAAGAGATGAAAGCAAAACAATCATTTTTAAGTCATGCAAAGAAAATGGGTTAGGATTTAAGGGTCTGATGGGTGGATTATTTCTAGTAGAGGCGCAGGAAAAACTGTTGCGTGTTTGCGACCAATGTAGCTATGGCATCAATCGTTTTAGCATAAACACCTGTGGTAGAGCACTCCCACCTCCTCTTGCCCTTCAGGCATGTTTGCTGAGGCTTATCAGATTTAGCAGCGTAAGTAATCTCCACTTCCTGCCACACAGAGGAGTCTCACTTTTGGCATTCTGAGGGCACAGCTAACATTAAATCCTTTATGGGAAGATGAGTACAATATAGTCCTATCCAGGTCTGATTTGCATAAAGTAGCTTTTGTGTCTGTCACCATGATGAATCTCTATTTATTAAAGGTTTTTTGTTGTTGTTTTAACTTCTCCCCTCACTTATTCCTCTCGGTTTATCTCCTAAATGTACTCCTTTTTTTGGAACTTTCTTAGATAGCTTAATAAGATATCCAAGGTATAGTAAAAACTACAGTACAGTTTGGAGGAAGAAGCATGCTTATAGAACGAGGGGATGGAAGAAATGAATCATAATTCAGAACAGATATTTTAAAGCAATATTTACATTTATTTTATAGGTTATTTTAAATAAAATCAATTTAATATAACATTATCCCTCATTTTAAGCCTAAAATGCTGTTTTGTGTATGCACATCAAATACACCCAACAGAGGAGGCAACAGATTGGAATCAGCTTTTCTTTAACAGAGACAATGACCATTATTCTTACACATAAACTTTCCAGTACTGGGTATGAGAAGTTCGCAGTATCTTAAGGAATAATTTACTCTATCCCACTGCTACTAAATGATCAAGCATAGGTTTTAAAATAGAATTGAATCTATTTCTGCAAAGGTCATTAAATGACTTCAACATTCTCTTAATTTGATGTTACACTAAACAGAAAGCAAAAGGGTTCAATATCTCAATTACCATTCCTCAACTAAAATCATCAAGTGATCAGACCCAATTCATTTAAGGAATTTTAACTTACCCTAGGAGGTTGTATAGTCCTCTGATTGGAAGCTGATTAAATTTAAAAATAAGAAAATGAATTTAATAAATGAAAGTAATTAAGGGAACACACTGTTTAATTTTAAAATAAAATGTTCAGGGCTAAAACTGGAGGTGCCAGAAAGTCCACTCAAAGAGTTCCAGTTTTGATAGTCTATTAAAAAATACAGAACATTCTTGATTATATGAATTGACAGAATAAGATGATGCAAACAACCCACCTACATCAAATAATAAACACACATCTGCTCATTTGCTCATACCATAATCTTCCCCAACTTTGTGGTGGAAAAGCGCTGTCATCTACTCACCCCACTGTAGACTCTACATCCCTCCCTACCAAGAGGACAGAATGTGACAAGGACCAGTCTCTGCCTCGACCCCATCACCCTTAGCCCACTGCTCTTGTTCCTTGTAGCCTGGTCTTCGTTTTCCTTTCTTTCAAGTTTCAAAGCTCCAGACAGGTAACACACGAACTAAAACATTCAGATGCCTCTGAGTATAAAGAATTATTCTGGACAGCTAGTTTTAGCTACAATCAAGCTCTTCTCTGTGTGTTCCTTCTTAGCTTCCTCTTCACTGCTCTTGAATGGATTGGTTAATAAAGATGAAGGAATATAGGGCATGACGAACATGCATGACAAAGGAAAAAGAACTGCTCTAGTTGCATAAAGACAAGAGAACTTCTTTACAAAAACCAAGTAGGGAGGATCCAGAGCAGCTAAAACCAATCAGAGTCCTGCAGATACAAAAGCCTCAACCAGCAACACCCTGTGAATGATTATGTAGGAGGGTGATGTTACTGGTGACAGGAGTCAATCCACTGCTCTCTGGACTGGATGATAGCACCGCATTTGCTTATTACCAGATTGATGTAGGCCCCCAGAACTGCTCCAGTTTTCCATGCTATTTACTCACTACCATTCCTCCAGACCCACTTTTTGAAGCTTCCAAAGCTGATGGGAAGTGGAGGTGAGTGAGAACCAAGGGCAACCACTGCATAGGTGAGCCAGAAGCTAGTAAGGCACTCTGAAACAGAGAAAATGACAACCGACTGGGCTGGAAAGCTTCTTTCTCCCACTGAAATCTGAAGGGGGAGAAACAGAATGAAGACTAGAAAGTTGGTGATGGTAAAGGAAGGTGGCAAGGGAGGTCAGCATGGAGAAGCTCAAAGCTTAGAGCTTTAGGTAAGAAAAGCTATCAGTGAGATGACATAAATAGGAAGAAAAAATAAGGACATAAAGGGAAAGGGTGAGCTAGGCTGGCTAGCAGGTACAGAACCACAGAGAGGAACTAAGTAACTGTTAACTGGCAGAACGGCTAACCAACTATGGTTCCTGAGAGGGCAATATGATGACTCAATCCTTTGAAACATACTGGATCCTTTCTATTCCTAAACTACTTCTTGCTCCTTCTGTGAGGCCCAGTTACATATCTGGTCTCATGAGATGCCACCTCTGTTACTATCATGTGCGGCCTACCTTGCTGGAGGTAGCTAGAGAGTGGTTTCTACTTGCAACCAAAAAAGAAGAAAACCTCTTTTTAAAGTACTGTGGAGTGAAATGGGTTTGGGAATATGAGTGAATTCACATTTAGCAACCTTCCAAATAAGCCAGGTGGAGTTACAGAATTTTATTAGGCACCATCATGACTGTTACATGTATATAACTCACTTCAACTAAGCCATGCCCTCTGTCTATGTTCAACCAAGGAAAACAGAACAGAGCAGCTATGTAAATTACTGATTGCTAATGTGAAGGGTCAGAGGTAAGACTTTAGAGTTGTATTTTTGAACTCAGAAATTTATTCATCAGAATTAGTAGTAAGAACTGCCAAGTAGTTCCTTTTCTATCCCAATCATGTGTGGAGAATAGTTCCTGAGGTCCAGTTCACAGGCACAAAGGACACCACATTTGGCCTATTCTGAAAACAAGAGATCTAGAAAGAACAGTGATTCAAAGGCACACAGGTCAGCTGCGATCCCTCCAATATTATAAAACCAAACAGTGCAGAAGTTCATTTCACTTGAGTTAATCCTCTCCAATAAGCATACGACCCAGGTGACAAAAGGGTGATAGTCATTTACCTGCTGCCACCATGGGCCTAAGGCACTGACAGCCAAAAATATATATATATATTTTTTAAAGCCTTAAGCATTTCATATCAGCTCACTTGCAATGTTTCTTGATTTGTTCTTCTCTTCTTGAAACACTTGGCACATACCATAAATATAGATTGTGAATTTTCAGAAATACTCTTTTCTGTTCATACCAAATTCACCTCTCCTCAACAATGGGCAAGACAATATCGCTGACTTTTTTATCTCTTTCTCTCTCTGTTCCATGTCATTCTAATATATGAGATGTGGTAAATCTGATTTCTGACTGCTAGTAGGTTGATTTGTATCAAAATACAATTATATGTCCTTATACGGGTAATGGCTTTAAAAAAATTAACAAGTATACAAAACACCCTATATAAACAATAAGCTTAACTTGATGCAGTTTAGTTAGTGCCTTTTAATCGTCCATATGTTCTCACATTGTTATTATTCACAGCCCCTAATTTCATTGTATAAAATTTAAATGCTTCCATTAAAAAGCAATCCAACACAGTTAAAAAAGACGACCAGAAAAAAAAAAAAAAGAAAGTTAAAATCTTTCTCCTTAAAGTAACAAGTAAGGCGACAAATTTAAACTTGGAAATAATGAAAATAATAAAAGTTGAACTTTTCATGGGGACATTAATTTAATCTTTAAAAGAGAGCTTGGATTTCTTTTTTAACTCTCTGAGGATTTTATTGCATTTTAGTCAAGACATATTCATTAGGCTTTTCCAAAGGTAAAAGTTATTTTGGAAACGTTTACAATTTTTACTTCCTGATTCAAATGCTCACATTTGCAACCTTAATGTTACATATACACTGTCCCTCGCCACTTCACGCTCCGACGTTGCAGCTTTACTCTACCGTGGTTTTTTCGAATATAGTATAATATTTGAAAAAACTGCGACAGAGTGCAGCCGTGCACGTGGAAGCGCGAAGTGGCGAAGACGACTGTGTATCAATAAAGACTCCTACTTCGCAGAAATTCATTTATCGCAGTAGAGTCTGGAACTGATTAACCACGATAAATGAGGGCTGAGTGTACTCAGATGTACAGATCATGTACGAAAAACACATCCTTTTCCTAGTCTACCACAGTGTCTAACGAGCAACTTCCCTGTGCCTTTGCTCTTCTCGCCCTTCAACTGAAGGCAGGTGTGCCTCTGAACCCTGGCAGCAGACAAGCTGATGTGAAAAGTCAATTTAGAATATTCTCACCATATCAATAAAATTAGACTCAATTCTTTTTTTTCTTTATTGATTTTTTTAGAGAGAGAGAGGAAAAGGGGGAGAGAGAGAGATAGAAACATCGATGAGAGAGAATCGCCTGGCCGCCTCCTGCGTGCCCCCCACTGGGGATCAGGCCCACAACCTGGGCATGTGCCCTGACCGGGAACAGAACTGGCAACCTCTTGGTGCATGGGTGGATGCTCGACCACTGAGCCACACTGGCTGCGCTGGACTAAATTCTTAACTTACATATGATATATTTATATGGTAAACTATGATAAAGAAAAAAATAATCTGGGGAAAGTTTCATAATTTCACTTTCACTTTGATTTTAATTTGAGAAGAGTACGTTTGTAATTACATTGGTTTCCCCGCCTTCTTAGGGATGTCGGCAATGGAGAAGCGGGGAGAGCAAGGTCAAGAGGGTGGCAGCCAGAGAACGCCTATTCCCACCTGAGTCAGTATCTCCAGACCTACTGACAACTGTACTGAACATCATTCTTTGTTAGACATGGACGGCATGGGGGAGCATGGCAGCAGAAGGGGGGGGGCAAACCAGATAATGAGAGGAAAAAAGAACAAAGATCTGACCACCAGTCTGTGACATCTGATACTACATAATATTGGACGGACACTGCAGCTCACATACTGCTCTCAGGCATTCATAGGGGGCAACATAATCAGCAGTGTCATCTTCAAGAACCAGACAAATGGTGATTAGAAGACACAACAAAAATAGAATATGTATCAACATTCAGAATGCGATGCTCATGATAGCTACCAAGTGAATAACATTCGGCATCAGAAGTCTTAATTGTATTCTAGGAACTTATGAGGCATGAACTAAGAAAATTTCAGTGACAGAAATCTGACTTTATAAACACATAAACTAAAGTACTTAGATTTTACTTAAGTACTACATATTAATTATCTTCTTAATAAGCATAAAGTAAAAGGAGACAAAGTATATATAACAGAATTGAACTCAATGATCAGTCAGCCAAAGCTGAAGTTCAAAAATAAAATTTCTTTGAAAGTATTGTGCAAGTCATATAAAAAATTGACTATTTGAATTTGTTAAATTAAAAAATTTGAATTGAATGATTCAAGGTCTTTATGAATTTTCAGGAACACATACAGTAAAGCTCACCTAAAGCAAAGCAGAAAGACTGAATGTTTTACTGCATTTATTTGTAACTTTTGACTATTTTGATAAATGTCCAAGAGTTTGCTTTATTTTATAAATTTAAAAAAGAGTATTTTTTAAGGGAGACTAATATAAACCAGATTGCAGGGAATATCTTTAGGCACCATTAAAAGTATCTGTCTCTATATCTGTATTACAAATAACTCATACAGCATCCTGTCAACTGAAAATTGGCAGATTAAATACACAGTTTAGAAACAATAAGTTGATTTCACACTTAGTAACAATTGATTTTTTAAAATAATAAAAGCCTGTATTTATTTCAGTGTATTACTTTTAACTGAAAGTATTTTTAAGTCAAGTATCCGAGGACACTGCTCTTTCACGGACAAAAGGGACAGATTCTGAAGGTCAACCCCGCCCACCTGGAGTGTCAGGCCCACAAGCGGAGGGAAGAGCCTGAGAGCAGGTGTCAGTGGAGCTCTGCCCAGGAGGCGATGGGCCTCTAACCTGAGGAGGGCCCCTCGCCCGCCGCCCTTTTCCACAGCATAAACGGCTTCTCCGTTCTAAAACACGAAGCCATTCTCTTTTCAACTAGTCTATAATCTGAACTGTTTATTAATGATTTCTACCCTTTTCATTAGTTACCAATACATTTCTTTGATCCTATGCTGTAAGAACCAACCAAAAGCATTTTCCAAATTATACAGCATGGGGCAAAATCAAGGCTTACAGTTGTTGGTATGGAAAATGATAGAATAATAAATAATAATACAAGGATAAACTCTGATTTCAAGAACTCACAACTGTAAACCTACTTTTGTCCCACCCAGTATATGTGAAATTATTGGCATAGACTATAAAAAATAAAGTTGACTTACCAATAAATTTCATATAGACTAATCCAAGTAATTCCGCTAAAGCTATAACACCCAAACCTGTAATCAGAAGAGGGCCATGCACTGGGGAACATGCTGTAAAAATAAATAAAAATTTATATTAGAAATTCATATGAAATAACTGAACTTCTTAAAAACAATAATAGTAATAGTATCAAGTTTTAAGGAGAGTATTTTTCTCATTATCAAGAAACAAAAATTACCCACATATGTTCATCCATTATTAACTCACTCAGTGAAATGACTCCAATTATTAAAATAAAAAAGACTTTGTTGCATAACATATGCCTTATCACATCGAGACAAATGAAAACAGTCTGTAAAGCCTAAGCCTCCACCCAGTTGAAGCCTGGTTATTATTATTTTTTTTAATCCTCACTTGAGGACATTTTTCTGTTTATCTTCAGATAGAGTGGGAGGGAGGAAGAGAGAGTGGGGGAGAGAGAGAGAGAGAAACATCTATGTGAGAGGGACACATCGACTGGTTGCCTCCCGCACAACCCCGACCAGGGCCAGATACAAACCACAACCGAGGTACGTGCCCTTGACCAGAACTGAACTCGAAACTCTGGTCCACGGGCCAATGCTCTAACGACTGAGCAAATCAGCCAGAGTGAAGCCTGGGTATTTTAAAAGCTCGCCCACCAACACAGGCATAGCAGTTTGGCCACTGGAACAATCAGCCCATAAGCCACAGACAACCAAGATGGAGAGCACTGATCTCAGTGGGGGCAAAACGAGAGTTAAAATAGAGAAGCTCACAACAGTAACTGCTGCCAAGAATGTACAGCAACAGGAATGTTCATTCATTGCTGGTGGGAACACTACATGGTACAGCCACTTTGGAAGACAGTTTGGTAATTTGTTACAAAACTAAATATACTCTTAACATACAACTTAGCAATTGCACTCCTTAGCATTTACCCAAATGAAGTAGAAAAATTATGTCTATACCAAAACATGCACGTCGATATTGTGTGTCTAGGTCTGTGATTTCATAACAAACCAATACCTTTCCAATGTACTGAAAACAACCAAGATGTCCCTCAACAGGTGAACGAATAAACAAACTATGGTCCATTCATACAATGGATATTATTCAATACTAAAAAGAAATGAGTTATCAAGCCACAAAAAGATGTAGAGGAACCTTAAATGCATACTAGTAAGTGAAAGAAGCCCATCCAAAACAGCTGCAGACTGCATGATTCCAAGTATAAGACATTTTGGAAAATGCAAAACTATGGAGACAGTCAAGATCAGTGGTTTGCAGGGGTTTCAGGAGATAAGGAGGATGAATAGGCAGAGCACAGAGGACGTTCAGGGCAGTTAAACGTTTCTGCATGATATTCTGTCTGTGACTATGATTCACATCATTATATATTTATTACAATTCTAGAATGTACAACACCAAGAGTGAACCCGAATATAAACTATGGGCTTTGGTGATAATGATGTGTCGGTGCAGGTTCAACGGAGTGTAATACGTGTACTGCTGTAGTGGGGGATGTTGATAGTGGAGGAGGCTGTGGGTAGATGGGATATAGGGGAACTCTCTGTATTTTCCACTCAATTTTGCTGTGAACCTAAAATGCTCTGAAAAATGAAGTCTATATATTTTAAAAAAGAACAAGAAAAAGAAACACAATAAAGAGCTCTGTCAAAGAGAAATTCCCAGTAGGAAGAGGCACTGGGACTAGAGAAGAACGTGATCCTTACCTGAGATACACAGGCTTAGTCCAACCACAGAGAGCACAAAGCCCAGCATCTGGAGGATCAATATGGCAATGCTGTAGGAGGACATCCCAATAGCTGGAGCTTCGAGGAAAAAGCATAGTGAGAGTGTTTAAGAAGCAATTAATTTGACTTGGATTTTGTACAATCCAGGATAGTATCCTATGACCAAAGACTGACTGTGGAGTTCCTTGCCGGATGGCAGATGCTTTCCCCACCATCTACACCATAATTTCCACTCAAGAAGTCAGACCCACAGTCACACACTCAGCAGCCTTTTATTTCTGCAGTGAGCAGAGCTGGACTGGCAGTTTTTACCCCAAATCTTAGAACAATGCTGCTTTTACCACATTTGCACATTTCACAGTAGGAATGGCTGTTACACAGGGCTCCGCCGTGTGCACACATTGCCCTGGTGCGGGACCATTACGCAAGCCCGCCACTGTAAACATCACAGCCCTCTAACTAACTGTGTCTAGATCTGTGTTTTTATAACAATTTGTTTTATAACAAATCAATACCTTCTCAAAGTACAGCAACCTAGATACAGGCTCTAGGACCAAGAGTTAAATGCACAAATGCAAAGAAAGAGATTCTTTAATAATAACAAAGATATTTAGTGATTTACTCCCAAAATGCAGTGAAAATGTTACCAGTTATAGGTTGGATATCTAGATCATTTTTTAAAACTACAATGTTAAGCTTTGCCAATAATTAAAAATATGTACATATTTCTACTCTTTATGATTTATAACCCTATTTTGTAGAACTCATTTTTTTGTTTAAGAGAGGCTTAGCAAAAAAAGAGAACAAGAATGTTTAATATCTACTTATAACTTAAAAAACTGAAATAAGAATATGAAGATAATCATTAAGAAATTATATAGCATAATTTAAAAAAATCTACTGACTGGCATTAAATATATCTCTGAAAATCACTTTTTACAAAATAAATACTTTGAAAACCTAATGTAATCTTAAAATTAATCCACATGGGGAAAATTTCACTAAGAATAGCTAGGGAGACAAACCAACTTTTATTGTATTATAAAACACCATACAAGAATAGTTGAATCACAGCTTTTTTTTTTTTTTTTTTTTTTTTACACAATGGAGTACTATGCAGCTATAAGAAAGAAAGATCTCTTATCCTTTGAGACGATATGGAGGGACCTGGAAAGTATCATCCTAAGTGGAACAAGCCGAACAGAGAAAGACAAGTATCATATGATCTCACTTATCTGTGGAATATAATGAACATAACAGTCTGAGGAATGGGGTAGTCCCAGAGACGTGGAAGTAGGGTACAGACTGACAACCCCAGAAGAGGGGGTGGTGGGTGAGAGATAAACCACAGAACTTATATGCATGTATGCATGAACAATGGACATGGACAACAAAGCTGGGGACAGGGCGGGGAGGAGGGACAGGGGAATCAGTGGGGGAAAAGGGAGAAACATCTGTAACAAAAATAAAAAAATAAAAAAAAGAATAGCTGAATCAAAAATTGTTTTTTTAAGTGAAAAAGGTAGTCACAACCACGCTAAAATAACAAATACTTACCTATCATAAACACAGAGTACTGAAGTAATATTAGTATCACTGTAGGAACTACAATTAAGCCAAGTCCACTGGCCCTCTTTGTTGAATATTCACCTGTTAATAAATAAAAATAACATTTAAAATATTTTCCTGCATACTTCCTACTCTTGGGAAGTTAAACTACTTAATTTATTATATGTATTCATCTCAATATTATTCTTACAAACTACAAAATGTTTAAAAATAAACTTCACACAAAACAAGTGACTATTTTTTTAATTTAAGATTGAACTTAAGACATCTAAATGTCAACATCTAAGTCTCAACATGTTGAAACCTTGAATTGGCTTTGCCTCCTTCTTAACTACCTTGGAGCCTCTCTTACCCATTCCTTCATTTGCTATATTCCATCTGTCCCAAAATCAAAATAGCTATTCTAGCTGTCTTCTGAATTCATCTCCTTCCTCCCCACATCCTCACCAACCCCAGCTGCAAAGAGAGCTGCCAAGTTTCTGTCTTAAACATTTTACCCATACTGCTCTCTGCTCAAACACCACTGGTTTTCTACAGCCTACACACGGAGCCCCAGCAGAGCCTCGCTGCTCCTTCCATGTGCTGCATGCCCTTGTCCCCATCCTCCAAAAGCAAATGCTGTTTCAGATCAATCTGTTTCCCATATTCACTCCCACCTCCATGTCCTGGCCGATGAAGCTGGCCTCTTCGGTGGGTTGAATGGTGGCCCTAAAGGATATGTCTACCTCCTAATCCCCAGAATCTGTAAATATTAATTTATACAGCCAAAGAGTGAGTGTTGCATTATATGGAAAAAGATATGAATACATTTAGGATCTTGAAAGAAGGACTGTATCCTGGATTAACCAGGTGGGCCCTAAATCCAATGATAAGTGTCTTTGGAGGAGAGAGGCAGAAGGAGATTTAACACAGGGAACCGGAGTTATGTTGCCACAAACCAAGGAGTTGCAAACACCAGAAACTAGAGGCAAGAAATGGATTCTCCCCTAGAGTCTTGGAAGGGAGTACAGTCACGATGACATCTTTGTTTCAGACTTCAGGTCTTCCGAACTGAGAGAACTGCTATTGTTTTGAGATACCCAGTTTGTGGTCATTGGTTAGCGCAGCTCTAGAAAACAAATATCCCCCTACACCTGCCTTGGCGTTCTCGAGGTCTCAACCCTGCCTCCCTCACAGTGACTGTTGCACCTTACCGGGGATGAAAAGAATGGCTCCGACGATGATGAATACAGTGAGAGCCAGTCCAGCCACGAACAGAAGGATGGTTTTCTCCTTCGTAACACTGGAGCTGTATTTCAGTGCTTAAAGAAAAAAAACACAACAAAGAAAGAATTCCATGAACTCAATCTCAAGAAATGCTGCCATTTCTGTAGCTTAAAAAGTATAGACAGACTGATAACTTCCTATAATTGAATAACCTTTGAGGAATAACTCTCTCACATCATGTCAAGCCACCTCAAATCTTTTGCATAATAAGTCAGTCAATGGCTAAATAGTGCCATGGCAACATAAATATGAGTGCTGAATTTATAGGTGATGCTTTTATTCCCCTACTCTTCAAAGGTGAAGTCATATACATCAGGCTTCCTCAGTTGAGGAACTGTTATCATTTAGGGCCAGAGAAGTCTCTGTGGAGGAAGGAGACTGCTCCGTTCATTACAGAATGTTCAGTAGCATTGCTGCCTTCCTCCAAACTACAGGCCAGTGACAGCCCCAAGTTGTATTGACCAACAATGTCTCTAGGTATGTGAAATGTCCCGAGGAGCAAAACTGCCTCAGGCTTACAGCTGATATAGATAATGCAGATGGGAAATGAGTGGCTAATTAGTAATATTGAGAAAAAGAGAACTTTGACCCTGGCTGGTTGCTTAGTGGTTAGAGCATCGACCCTCGGATCAAAGGGGTGCGGGTTCGATTCCAGTCAAGGGCATGTATCTGGGTTGCAGTTTGACCCCCGGCCCTGGTTGGGGTCATCTGGGAGGTAATCAATTGATGTGTCTCTCTCACATTGATGTTTCTCTCTCCCTTCCACTCTCTCTAAAAATCAGTGGAAAAATATCCCTGAGTGAGGAATAACAAAAAAAAAAAAAGAGAGAGAGAGAGAGAGAGAACTCTCTTTCACCTCTTAGAAAATTAGTAAAACATCTGGAAATCTAGATACTTTGTTTTAAAAAAATAAACACTGGACAATTAACACCCTCTTGGTATCCTGAAAGGAGGAAATGCTTAAATTGTTCAACTAATATAATTTCATAAAAATAAACTACAAATGCTTAACAGGACTCATTATACACATTATTGTTTTTTGATGTTAGCTCTATTGTCAAGTGTCTGGTACCTTCCTGAAAGAATAATGTAATGGATAAACCTAACAATATTGTTTTTAACTATATCTTCACCTTTTAGGTTTTGTTTTGGTTAATATCAAAACTAATATTTTTACCAAGAAAGTTGTTAAAAGTAACATAAAAGCAGATTGAGTAGCAGAGAGAAAAAGTGTACGATTAAAATTGTTTTGCTTCATCCAGGCCATTAATCAATGTCCTGGGGGGGGGGGGATTTAAAAACATGTTATTTTTAGCTTTACATTTGCTTCCACTAAAATGACAAACAGATCAAATACAGTAAGAACAATTCCCTCTTAAATGACCATGCTAAAATCTGTTTGTAAGGTTTTATAACCTAGGGCTATATGATAACCTATGGTTAAGATACTTGAGGAATAATACAGGCACCTAAAGACTTTAAAAAATCACTACTTACTCATATACTTCAGATTGTAAAACTCAACTTGATTCTCTTTAGGGGGAGATGAAGAGCTAATCAATCATCAATCCTGAAGCTGAGTAACTGAAATCTACATTAATCAAGAAAGAGTCAAAAACAATATGGCAAGTTCCCCAAGCCTTCATGATCCATCCAGGTTTGGGACTTACCCCCAGTCACCTAAGTCATGACTATGGCTCAGTCATGTCCCTTCTTTCTTATAGGGCACAGATTTGCACAGATTCCCTATTTCTAGACTGGTGAGGATAAAATTCCGTGTATAGGTCACAAAAGGCACCGACATAGATAGAAAAATAAATTTTCCCTAGACATATGTCAAGTTTTCCACTTAATTCAATGCTTATTGTTATCTAAAGAGAGCTTGAAAGTTCTCCAAAAGGGTTATAAAATAGAACCTACTTCAAATGCACCACACAGACATTCAAAAGACACTCTTCTAGGTTTAATTGAACACATAAAAGAGCTACTAAGATCAAGCAGCAAGAATTCACCTTTAGAGTACATAGAAGTTCATGTAAAAAGGCTGACTTAATAAGAGTTTGATTCTTATATAAAATTCAACCTCTTCAGGTTTAGAAGAGTTACAGGAGAAAAATAATGCCAAATATAGCAACAAAATGAAAACATCGTAAAATTACACTGATTTTCAGTGTTTTGCCATAGAATGATCTTTTCAAAACTGTTACATATAAATATTGGAGGTAGCTTTAGTTTCTGTTGATTGGTTCAACCACTATTTATTTTCAAGGTTACCTTCAACTCTTCCTTAAATTAAGCAACCATTTCTAACAAATATATTAGTGAGATCTACTTAAGTAACCACAGGCAATGAAAATGAATCTCCATGTTTTCTTTAGTGAATCTTTTTAAAAAATTATTTTTCTTTATTGATTTGAGAGAAAGAGAGAGAGGGAGAGACATCAATGAGAGAGAACACTGACTGGCCACCTCCTACATGCCCCCACTGGGGATTGGGCCCACACCCTGGGCATGTGCCTTGACTGGGAATCGAACTGGTGACCTCTTGGTTCATGGGTCAATGTTCAACCACTGAGCCACACCGGCCGGGCTCTTTAGTGAATCTTTTAAAAAGAGTTTCTTTGGACTCATTTTCTTTGCCACAATGGCCACATTTTAGCATATCCCACAGCAAGTGGGGAGAAAGTATTTTGCAGCCCAGTTGTCAATTTTTTCAATGTAGCTAAAGGATTTGGAATCTGATATAGATGTTATAGAACTCAGTAACTGCAAGAATCCCTTTTTTGGCTGTCTTTTCTTGTCCTTCCAGAGGTAGATTTATCCTTATTTATCAAATCTATAAAAACTATAAATGTAATCAAAGAAAATAAATTCAAGTAACTTCACAGACACTCAGCATTAAGATAAAGATAATTTAATGTGTTCCTAGCAGGCTCTTAACAAACTTCCCGGTATGAATTTCTGGCTCTTTGGGAAAGACAATCTATGTAATTTTAAAAGTGTTCATACTTTAACAGATTCCCCTCAACTAAAAGTACTGAAATCAATACACAAAATAGAATATGATAAATAACTGTATTTACACTTTTTAAATACTTTTAAAGCACTGTTTTAGATTTACAACAAAATTTAGAAGTACAGAGCACTCCCCTATACTCTCTGCCCCCACACATGCATAACTCCCCCATTATCAACATCACTCACCAGAATGGTACAATTTTTACCAAGATGAGCCTATATGGATACATCATAATTACTCAAGTCCATAGTTTGCCTTTAAGTGTTATACATTCTATGGGCTTGGAAAAATGTAAAATGATAACTACCCATCATCATAGTATCATGCAGAGTATTTTCACAAATTCTCTGTGCTCTGCCTATGGATCTCTCCCTGCACCCCACTTCTAACAATGATTCATCTTTGTTTCCCCAGTTTTGCCTTTTCCAGAATGTCTTCTAGTTGGAATCATACAGCATATAGCCATTTCAGATTGATTTCTTTCAGTTAGTAATATGTATTTAAGGTTCCTCCATGTCTCTTCATGGCTTGATAGCTCATTTCTTTTTAGACATATCCCAGTGCACTGATCCACTCACCTACTGAAAAACATCTTGGTTGCTTCCAAGTTTGGGCAGTCATATAGAAGCTGCTAGAAATATCCATGTGCAGGTTTCTATGTGGACGTATGTTTTCAAACCCATTTGGATAAATACCAAGGAGTACAATTGTTGGATCATCATATAAAAGAGAATGTTTAATTTTGCAACAAATTGCCACATTGTCTTCCAAAGTGGCTGTACCATTTGCATTGATGTATGAGACTTCCTGTTGCTCCACATCCTCATGTGGTGTTGTCAGTGTTTACATTTTAAGCAAAACTTATAACCTTAGTGCCACCTGCACAGGAACTCCCAAAATACTGGGAGACAATATTATATTTTCATTAAAAATTAGGAATTCTAAAGTTGTCCCTTTTATACCATCTATAAAATAATGAAATCTAGCCAGCTACCTCTCAGAATGACTAGGTTGCTTCATTTGTTCTGGGAATATTTCCTGTGTAGCTACAATGTAGCAGGCCTTTTATTAGTCCATCTCAACCAAATCAAGGTACAAGTAGATTACTTTATTAAACAACTGACTGAGCACCTACTATGTGACAATCACTGTTCCATGCTGCCTCAAGACCTTTATGTTCTAATGTGTGATGGGTATGTGTGTTTGGGATGGGGGAGGAGTGAGTGATGGGAAGTGTTGCTACATATAACAATTAAATAAAAGGTGTGGGTCTAGTCTACTCTAGCCTAAGAAAGTCCCTTATGTAATTCTTCAAATCCATGTGAATAAAGAAATGGCATGTCTCTCCAGTTACCCGAAGAAACAGCTAATTCTAGAAACAGATACGCCAGTAGTGTTTTCTCATTTCCTTGTCACTGATACAAAGCACATATAAAACAGAATGCAGGTTGTGGTTGATGAAATCTGGTACAATTAGCAGGTCAATTTGGAGATGATAATATCTATCATCTTAGTTTTCATGATACTCCAAAGACAGAATTTGCTAAGCCCATACAGGCCCACACAGACCACGGTTTAGGAACAAAACCTGAAAATCCCAGAATTCAATGCCTCTTCAAAGATATGACCTTTAGATGTTTCCTGACTGAGCAATTAATGACTTGGTGATGATACACGAAAGCTAACCAGTGAGGTATAATGGGTATCAGATTAAAAATAAATCATAAAGAGAGATAGGCAATGGAAGGGCAAAAGGGAAGGTCATCTGTAATGCTCTATAAACAAACAAACACACAAACAAAACAGCACAGAAAAATAATTGAAAAGAAAAAGGTCAGAAATATCAATAAGGGTATCCCTTGGGATATTGGGAAATTGTGGACTTGCTTCATGTGCTTTTGCATCTTTCTTTTTTTTTTAATCCTCACCCAAGGATATTTTTCCATTTATCTTCAGACAGAGTGGAAGGGACGGAAGGATAGAGAGAGAGAGAAACACTGATGTGAGAGACATCGA